TAAACTAAACTAAACTAAACTAAAAAATTTAGCTATTTTTCTTTTGGCCAACAGAGGATTTCCAATCCGCTGGATTTTTTTAAAAATGGCAAAACTCCTGTTTTCCTTTAAGGAATCCCTCAAGTTTTATGTCTTCTAAACGGAGGGATGTGTTTGATGGGCCTGTAATCCTTTGAGATTAAAATCCTCAGCGTTTCAAGATGGTACGTCCAAAACAGATCACCCATTTTTCACTGGTGGCTTTATGCTCATCGGAGATGGATTCACAACACCTACAGTTACTCGAGCACCACAACTCACGTTCTTCCTCTCTTAGGTGGACACGTGCACAAGGGGCACAACTTCCACATCAATGGTGTGATGCTCATGGTGTCATTTTCCCCCTCACCGGCCATCAAACAGCTTTTTTTTTTTAAGCAAGGATCACAGATCCTTTCAATCCAGTTTCCTGGAAGTGGAACGAGACCCTCTTGGAGAAGACAATATGGAGGACTGGGCTAAAACCCAAGAGGAACAAATGGGGGGGGGGATACCAGTTGGGGAGGGGAAGCAACTTCCTGGAGAGCTTTTTCAAACAGGATCATCTTGCTGAGAGAGAGGTGTGGTCACACACAAGCCACATCAATGGGATTCAACGTTACGCACGACAGTCTGGATGTAAGCTCTGGATTCAAGCTCTGGATGTAAGCTCTGAAAGACTCAGAGGAAAAGATCTCTCTCTACCAGGAAGGACAGGACACCGCGAGGAATCACAATCCCCAACAAGTAAAAGAGGAGCGGGAGATGTCCAGCTCAGTTGTGGTTCCATCACACTCCCGAAAGGAGTGGGATGAGACAGGCTTCCTTGGCACTGGACACCGGGATGGCGAGAGTCCTTCCACAGCGCTACTTCTTGTTAGCAATCCGTCTCTTCCGAGTGGCCAGCATGTCATAAAAAGGGTCCTTGCTGATGCTTGCCCTAAAACGAAAGAAAACAATAATAAATAATTAGGCTAGGTTTGCACCCTAACGCCAGTGGTTTTCAACCTCAACAAGTTTTAAAATGCGTGGACTGGGGAATTCTGGGAGCCGAAGTCCACCCATCTTAAAATTGTCCCGGTTGAAATACTCCGCCTGGACCATAACAAACTACAGACAAGCCACTGTCTCTGTGAGCAATTACTTTCCACCTGGCTTCTCAACGCTAAGTACCGTATTTTTCGGAGTATAAGACGCTTCGGAGTATAAGACCCAGCTTTTGGGGAGCAAAACAAAGGAAAAAATATCTGCCTCTGCCTTCCAGCAATTTGCCTCCTTGCAACAAACAGCAAACAGTACAGACAATATACACCATTTGTAGTGTTATATTTCAGACTATTCTTGTACAGATGCTATTAAAATCGATGTGCTTTCTGGAAGCATAGTTATTCTCTGCTAGTTAAAAAAAATAGCACTTTTTAAAACAATAGCACTGGGCCTCTTCAGATCAAGCATTTATTTCAAAAAGCTGCTTCATTTTGTTAAGTTGTCTAGACTAATAATAAAGCAGTCTTTAAAAATAAGTCTAATCATTTGAACATTCTATAGGCATTTATAGTTGTTGACTTACCTCCTTGCAGCAAACAGCCTGATTAGCACAACGAAAAAAACTCTCCCTCTGCCTCCCCGCAATTTGCCACGTGGAGCAAACAGCAAGTTTCACTTTCAGTTTCTACCGATCATCAGCTGTTTCAGCTTGCAGGGATTGCTATAGCCTATTGAACGCTCCACAAGCCCCCCTCTGCTGCAAAGTGGCAGAGGCCAAAGGGTGGGGGATGGTGGGTGGGTGGGGCTACATTTAGTGTGTAAGACGCACCCACATTTTCACCCTCTTTTTTGGGGGGGGGGAAGGTGTGTCTTATACTCTGAAAAATACGGTAGTTTTGGCTAAAATACACTCCCTTCCCAAGTGTCTCTCCTGGAAAGGTTGTAAGTCGAGGACTAACTAATTAGTCCTCAATTTACAGCAATTCATTTAGCGACCGTTCAAAATTAGAACGGCAGTGAAAAAAGGGACTCTTTCACACGACCATTGCACCATCTCCGTGGTCACGCGATCAAAATTTGGACAATTGGCAACTGGGGTCATATTTGTGTCTCGGGGTTATGTGATCCCCTTTTGCGACCTTCTGACAAGCAAAATCAACGCAAGAAGCCAGATTCACTTAACAAATGCCCTCTTAACTTTACCACTGCAGTGATTCCCTTAACAACTGTGGCAAGGAAGGTCGTAATATGGAGCAAAACTTGCTTAACGAATGTCTTACTTAGCCACCTAAATTTTGGGCTCAGTTGTGGTGGTAAGTCAAGGACTACCTAGTATGGTGAACACATCCATGTGATATCATCATTATCGTTTAACGACCCCATAATCCCTTGCGGGATGGACTCTGGGCCTCTGAATGGAGCTAGCGGATGTTTAATGGCTGGATTCCCTCCCTGTTGCCAGTGCCGAGTTAAGTTCAGCAGATATATTCCCAGAGAGAGAAATATCTGCCTCTATCCACGACTGAAGTCTCAGTCTTCTCATTGTGAGGCGAGAGCGCCACCTCTAGGCCCCTGCCCCATCACTTTACAGCTGGATTCTCCCTACAGCTGGCCTTGTGCTCCCCGTCTTCCCATGAATAAAGTCCTCACTTGATGGATTTAATCCACTCTTCTTTTTCTTCGGGCGTGGGAGCCGATATCCGGTACACCATGTGGTTGCCCTCGACCACCCGGCCATCCGCTTCCGTCTTACATGCTTTGATCACTTGTCCTTTGTGGCCGGGATTGTACAGCTCAAAGCAGTTCTAGGGAGCAAACCACACACCAACAATGACACTTTAACCTCCATTTGGCAAGCCAACATTCAACCAGAGCTTTCTCCAATCATTGTTGGTATCTTTCACCTTCGTAAATATCATTCTGCTTTATATAAGACCGGGTCATTTTTCCAACCTATTTTTCCCTTGCAATATAATAAGTGGTTTACCATTCAAACCCACGATCCCTAAATTAGCCAGCAAGACTAAATAATGACGTGATAATAAAAAAGCAGATAAAAACTAGGAAGACAGAGAAATCGATATATTGGTTACACTCGTATGATGTGGTGATTGTAATGTTTTCAGATCTGAGGTGCTTCATTTTTCTTTTAAAGGTAAAGAGCAGGGTTGGGAAGAGCTCAAGGAAGTCAAGAGGATGCCTTAACCACATGATTGAAAGTCTACTGGTCTATAAATGAATAAAAGAGAAGAGATGATAAAGATAAGAGAAAGATAGATAGATGATAGATAGATAGATAAATCTAGAGAGAGAGATAAGATAGATAGATAGATAGATAGATAGATAGATAGATAGATAGATAGATAGATAGATAGATAGATATGACTGAAGTTCCTTGCTTAT